GTGTATAAGAGACAGCCCCAGGCGTGCGGGGACACAAGGAACCCGGGCGTGCTCTTCCCCGAAGAGCAAAGCGGCTCCTCCGAGACGACGACCCCAAAGCCTTGCTGATGGGTTGTGTAATTTTAATCCCTATTATTGGCGGATTATGAGCTGTGACTTTGCAAAACGCCTCGCTGCAGCGCGAGGAGGGGAAGCGCTGCCGGGCAGCCGTGCCGGAGCCTGTCCCGCGCCTGCACCCAGGGATAACACAGACCCGGGGAAGGGCCGCAGCGGGGGGGGCCTGAGGGTGAGCTGGGGAAAAGTTTTGGGTAACGGGGGCAAACAAAGGGCTGGGCAGGGAGCAGCCTGCGGGGAAATGGCTCTTTATAATCCTGGGTACTGTTTTGTGCACGCAATACCTATAATTCATCCCCTTTGGGTACCAAGAATCGGCCGCAGTGTGGCCCAGCCGCTGCACCAGGGCTGTGGGGCAGCAACGGCCCCCCCTCCCCTGCAAACCCCCAGTCCTTGGGGCTGTGAGGATGCTCTTTGTCTGTGAAACCAAGCAGGTGAGCTCCGGGTTAATAGGAAAAACCTTTAAACTCCCCAACAGCGTTTTGGGGTTATCTGCGTTCATGGAGAACAGGATTAAGCAGGTGCCTGCCTTCTCTCTCCTTCTCTTTGATGGCTTATTCTAGTTTTCCTCTGCCTGACTCGTTCATTATGGGGCAACAAAAGAACACCGGATTTGTCATCTCGGTGTTTTTTTAACCAGTCGTGTCAAGGTTGAGCAATTCATGGCAGTGAAACTTATCTTTGTCTGGGACACTTCGAGCACAGCGAACATGGGAGCAAAAAGTCAGGGGCGTTTGTCTTAAGTTATTGATTAAATGTTTGCTCAATTTTCAGGAGAATTCTGAAACGTTGATGTGAAAAGCAAGGGGGATGTTCAGCTGAACGCTGTGGTCATGAGTCTGTCTGGATGCTGGAGCCCAGCGGGTGCTCCTGGGAGGGATGTGAGCTGGGGAAGCAGATTTCCCCGCTCCAGGGTCTCCGGCATCCTGAGGGGAAAGGTGCTGCGGCAATTTGCGGGCGATGCATCAGCACCCCACCAGCGTTTTGCAGGGCCTGGGGAGGGAGCGGGGGGGACACGACCCTTCGCAGGGCTCCGGTGCCATTGGGGAAGGATGCGGCAGCTCCGGCCAGGATGGGATTTACTCATTTTCCATCCCCAGGTGGGTGATGGGTAAAGGAAGGAAGTGCCAAAACGCACGTTGGAGGGGCCCCGAAAGCTTTCTGGAGGCAGCGATGGGGTGGCCGGAGCCGGGCGCGTGCGCGGGCCGGGGCACGTCCCCGGGATCCGGCCCCTCCCCGCCGCTCGCCATCCCACCCTTCCCCTCGGAGGTCCCTGAGGAAGAGCAGGCCTCGTTGGAGGAGATAAATATAGCCGTAAACAAGAAAACAGGACATGTCCTCTGATGATTTAAAAGCAAACAGGCAGCGGGGCAGAGCGCGGCGAGCAAACGTGCCGCGCTCCCTGTCCGGGGCTGCTCGGCAGCACCGAGGCCGCGCTCAGGGTCGATGGGGGTGTCCTGCTGCTGCTCGGCCTCTGCTAAAATCACCCGCAAGGGCCGAGTGCGTGCTGGGGAGGGAGAGGAAGGGCCAGAACGGCCCCATGAGAGAGGGGAGGAAGGCAGGTGGGTGCCAGGGGTGCACCGAGGGCGGGTGTTTGGCTGGCGGCTGGCATGCCGCTGGCTGTGGGACGCCGGGAGATGGAGGAAGGGATGAGCCCATCCCAAACGGAAGGACAGAGGACAATGCGGGGAGGTTTAAGCAGGAGCTGGGGAGAAGCGGCTCACACTGCACCAAGCATCGCCCGTGCAGGAGGAGCGGGTGCCCGGCGGGTTTGCAGCCTCTGGTGCACACAGGGGAGGTTTTTCCCCCCGAGCTGTGGCAGAGGCAGGGGTGGCACCAGGGCTGTGTCCCCAGGCTCGGCTGTGCCACCACCCTGGTGACCTCCTGCTTCCCCAGCCCGGCTGAACGCTCTCCCCCTCTTCCCTGCGCAGCGACAGCGGCCGCCCCTTCTTCCTCTACCTGGCGCTGGCCCATATGCACGTCCCGCTGGGGGTCCCCCCGCCGCCACCCCCCGCCTCGGGCAGGGGCATCTACGGAGCCTCCCTGAGCGAGATGGATGCCCTGGTAGGACGGATAAAGCAGGTCGCTGACAGCCACGGGAAGGGCAACACGCTCCTGTGGTTCACAGGTACAGCAGGAAACCCAACCGGCTGCGGTGGCTCGACGCCGGGGAACGGCCCGTGTCTGTCCCCTGCCCTCCGTGCTCCCAGCTGCTCCACGGACTGGGGGGGACACCAGCAGCCACAGCCGAGCTGCCCAGCGCCGTCACATCACGGGGATGGGGGTCCCGCGGGGCTGCGGCCGCTCAGCCGGGTCCCCACCCCGCCACCCCCCCTTCGGCCACGAGGCTGAACCGGCAGGGCCGTGCCTAATTAAACTGCAAATCCTCATTCATTAAGAAGCCCAAATCCGCTCTCGCTGAGCAGCCTCCCTAATGAGGATGTCTTGCTCCTGACGACAGGAACCGCTCAGCCGCTCATTAACGCCCGAAGCTGGTGGCAACTGCCCCCCCTCCCCGCACCCCAGCTCTGCTCCAGCCCCTCACCCGGGACTCGGGCAGCCCCAGCCCTTGAAAATAAACTTTTAGAAATAAAAATAAATCAACCCACTGCCCTTGCTAATGTGGGAACGCATCATGCGGATGGGAAGGAGGGATGGAAGGGTCACTTGGCCTTGCCCTGTCTCTTATAC